TCCTTTCATTATTTGAAGATCTCACACATAGCAGAAATACTGCTAAGTACAAAACTGGGACTGTTACAGCAGGGCACTGGAATCAACTGAGGATAAAGTAAGACTGTCATAAGATGTATATATAAAATTCAATCTCTGTAGGAGGAGCCATAAATGGGAATTAAATAGAGCTAAGATCTATTCTGCATGAGTGCATTCCACAGAAGTCAGAATGTTTCTTCCTATCTTGTGGCTTGATGTAATGGTGAAGGGGGTTCTCATAAGACACATTGGCAAAAGGGCAGAGCAGAGAATGTAGTCTCATTGTCACTTGAGTCCTCCTTTTCTATAATAAGAATGATGGTCCAGAAGCTCAGACTTCTCTATTTCCAAAGGTGTTGGTTCCTACCACAGAAAATAGGAAAGAAGGGGACAGTGTTCAGACATAAAAATAATATTTTAATTTAGGATATGCAGGTACAAGGGGGGATCTATTATTAATGAGTCCCAAATGCAAGATATATCAGTAGTTTTGTTGTTAAGCTGGTCAGGCTTTAAGAGAGGGTTACATTGCAATTCCCAAAGTACTGAATACAGTTCAGTTTTTTGCTGAATGAATTGATGAATTGTATTTTTTAACATGATAGAAGGAAACAATATGTATATATGTGTATATTTTTATATGTATGTACACACACATAGAGAGAGAATTAATTGTTCTAATATGTTTATTTAATTTAAATTTAATCATGTTTAATTTTATCACTATGCTACCCAAGCATGCCACTCTAAAGTTTTCACAAATTGAAAAAAGTTTGTGCTCACTGTTGGTGCCTGAAAAGAACGAACACAACCACTCCTTGGAACCTCTATTAGTTTTGGCTCAGGACAGGTTTTTTTTTCAGCTATATACTATGCCAGCTATGCAAATATCTGTTTTAGATGAATGTTGCCAGGACAATCTGTTATGGATTGACAACCATTTAAGATCAGAAAGCAAAAAGGCAAGAATGACAATTTTAATAACAGATACAAATAAGCAGGGGGCTCCCCCAAAAGTTCTGTCGGGACTGTGTTAATTTATTCATACAGGAATTGAAATCTGATGTGTGCGGTGAAGGCCAAAATTGCAAATAGCATGTAATTACTGAGGACATGAAATACAAAGCAGAGGAGATCCAGAAAGGAGTTCCTCAAAGTGAGCAAAGGATGAGAAAATTGAACATGATTCTTAACCCAAAAGAAATGTGTATATAGATATTGGCAAAAACATTGCATTCCAAATTTGAACTGAGGATGATTAATCAGGCATGATGGACTACCAAAAACAACAAATCAAGATTAGAAATCAGGAAAGATCATGGGAAAAGAACTACCGATATTACAGTTACTATATATAAATTTATCCCATGGCTTAATTTGTAATACAATATTCCACATTTTACAAAAAGAATGTCATTGCAATAACAGTTTGAAAAGAGGTAGCTGAAAAGAACTTCAGACTACTTTCTGTAGGAAGGACGTTTATGAAGTACAGATTAGGCGAGATCTGGCTCAAAAACAGTAATTGTGGAATCCTAGTGGACGATCACTTGACTATGAGCCAGCAGTGTGCAGCAGCAGCCAAAAAAGCTAATACAATCCTGAGTTGTATAAACAGAGGCATAGAACCAAGATCAAGTGAAGCATTAGTACCGCTTTATAAAACCCTAGTAAGACCACACCTGGAATACTGCAACCAATTTTGGTCACCATACTACAAAAAAGATGTTGACACCTTGGAAAAAATTTAGAGAAGAGCAACTAAAATAATCAAAGGCCTGGAGACTAAAACCTATGAAAAATGGCTGAGGTTCGAACTTATGGCAGTGAGCAGAGTCAGCCTGCAATACAGTGTATTCTAACCAATGCACCAACACGGAGAGGTGGACGAGAACACAGGAGCAGCAGAATGTGAGACTGAATGGAGAAAGAGTCTCCTGCTTGCTCCCATAATAGGAGAATGTGAAGCCATCCAATCCCAACTAGGAGCCAGTTCAACAACAGGCCAAAGAAACTATTTGACATGAGACATATTGAACTTCTTTACCACAAGATTATAGATGATTGTTTGGCGGGTATGGCTTGGGGGTGCTTAAGGAACATTCATGGAGATAATTATATAATTATCTGAAACTACTATGGTCAGAACAATCTCTCTTGCTGGATATCATATCCTTAGGAAATGGGAAATGACAGAACATGTTTCCTTCATATACTCTTAGTGGCTTTTTTGGGAGGATCTGATTCTTCTCTATATGGAAAAAGATGCTGAATCTTTGCTTAGAGCCTTCAGGGCTATTTGTGACTGTTTATATATTGTACTGTTATCCATCACTTGGACAGAGACAATGCATTTTAAAAAGTGTATCCATATTAGAAGAATTAACACAAGGAACCTGTTATAATTTGAAAGAGGGAATACCAGTACCTCTATGCAATAATATTTATTGCATTCCACTCAGACTTATTCACAAACCCATCTATAAATATATATATAATATAACCCAACCATAACTACACAGTATAATACACAGACTTTTGCATTCATCAGAGCAAAGATCAACAGCTACTCAAACCATTAAGAATAAAACGCAAAAATCATCGTGTGCCAGGAACATTTTTTCCTTCTCCAAAGCAACAAAATTAAATGATGCTTTTTATAATGCAATTTATGTAGATTGATTCATGGGTGAATACCATGTTTTCAAAGAGATCCAAAGGTGCTTTTTCAAGAGGCAACTGGACTTTCTTTGGGTTTTTTTTTTTTTTTGAAGATCTTTCACTTCTAATCCAAGAAGCTTCTTGAATGAGAAATGAAACGTCTTCAAAGAAAAACAAAGGAGGTCCAGTTGCCTCTTGAAAATGCACCTTTGGGACAACCATGACTGGGATGACTGAGAATCTGCATAGACATTTTCAAAGAGACTTATTCCCATGTAGAAACAGTCATAAGACCATAACTTTAGTTGATATTCTGCTTTAATATGTTCTATGTTTCTATGTCAGCAGTCTCAGTTTAAAAGAAGCTAATGTTAAAAAGTGTATTAGAGTAACAGTGACATAACATAAAAAAAAAATACCATTGTCCCTCCACCCCCACCCTGCCAGTCTGTCTTTGCCAACTGGCACTTACTTTTTCATCAGCTCTGCAATTCTTTGGCATTCTTCCTTATCGTAAAACCAAATTCCATAAATGGACACTGTAAACGCACATCAAACACAAATGATGAACAACAGAGCCTCATGTACACCAGCTGCCCTTTTTGGCATTAGCAAGAATCAATGAATGTTGCTTGCAGAGGAGATTCTAAAGCTTTAAAAATAAGTCTATAAAATTCAAACAGTTGCATTTTAGTTTCTATTCTACTTCTCCATTTACCATTTATTATATGATGCAGACATGCAATCACAACATTTATAGCAACCAGACCTGGTTGACTAGGTGAAAGTCTCCCACAATGAACTATTCTCTCTATAGTAATGTCTTTCACAATTCCAGAACACTCTCTACTGACCTGCTTAGAAAACTATTCTGTTAGGAAATGACTAGACTTCATCCCTGAATTTCATCCATCATACTCTGCTTCGGCTATGTTTCTTCCTCTGTTTCTGGAACTCATCATAATACTTACCATATTCTATGTCCCCATTATTTTATTTTGCAATTAAAAAGGGGAAGCTACTATTTTGCAAAGCAAAGGGACACTCTGAAGCATAATCTTTATTCCTTAAAATGGTCCTAGGATCGAAACAGATCTTAAAGCAGCGGTTCTCAACCTGTGGGTTGCGACCCCATTTGGGGTCGAACGACTATTTCATGGGGGTCGCCAAACAATGCAGTCCGCCATTTTTTTCCCCTTTTCCTTAGCTGTGCTACTCCCTTTTATTCTATTGGCTTTTGAAAGCCAATAGAATAGACTCTCTTGAATACAGTCTAATTCTATTGGCTTTCAAAAGCCAATAGGAATTGTCCAGGCTGTCTCTGCCCTGCGGAGCCCGCCAAAAGTCCCATTCTGCAAACGGTGCTGCAAGTTGTCTGCAGCGAAGGCGAGCTGTATGGAAGTTTCCACCCCTCCCTGCTGAGCAACTACTAAAAATGTAAGTAAAAGAGAGCCAGGAGTGGGAGGTGAGAGGCCGGCGGGTGCAGGGAGGGTTACTGGCGTGCGTGGGGCCCGGCGGGTGCCTTACCTCCCTTGGGCTGGGCCAGCTGGTGGCCCAGCTGGTGGTCAGCCTGCTCCGTCTCTGCCACTTGCCAGCTACGCCTCGGCCGGTGCAGGGGGCGGCACCACGCATGTGCGGCGCTCCCGGGCAGGGAAAGTCCTCGACTTACGACCGGTTGGGTAGTCCTTGACTTACGATCGGTTGGGTAGTCCTCGACTTACAACCAGTTGGGGGTCGCGCCATTAAAAAGGTTGAGAGCCACTGCCTTAAAGGCTTTCTGAAATAATTGTTTAAAAATATATCTACCCGAAGAGAAAAAAATCCCTGAAATTTCTATGTGTTTCCCGATAAATGAGTTCCATTGTTATAGTACACTCCATTGTTAACAGTTATATTATTCAAGCTCTACAAATCTTAGCTTCATAGTAGAGTCTCATAAGAAACTACTATATTTTATATCAACAATTAGAAAAACTCAAGCAGGATCAGATTAAAATATTTTTTGTTTTAGGTAGTCCTCGACTTAGAACCACAACTGAGCCCCAAATTTCCATTCCTAAGCAAGATAGTTGTTAAAGTGAGTTTTGCCCCATTTTACAACTTATCTTGCCACAGTTATATCCTGGTGCTACATCAAAGAAGGTTTAAAGGTAAGAATACACTTATTGACAATTAGTGCAACAACTATAAAATCATTGCAGTTGTTAAGTTAGTGATACGGTTGCTCAGTGCATCTGGCTTCCCCATTGGACTTTGCTTGTCAGAAGTTTGCAAAAGCTGATCTCATGGCCCCAGGACACCACAACCGTCATAAATGCTTGCCAGTTGCCAAAAGTCCGAATGTTGATCAGACCGTGGGGATGTTGCAACTGTTGTAAGTGTGAAAACGTTGTAAGTCACTTTGTTCAGCGCCGTTGTAATTTCGAACAGTCACTAAATGAATGATTGTAAGTCAAGGACTACTTGTGGTGCAAAGTAGCAGTTCAAAAGCATGTTATAGGCAAGTAGATAAATAGGTGCCACTTTGGTGGGAAGATGAGCTGGTGCTTTGCGCTGACGTCAGATCCCCGCCAGCACAGGTCCTTCCCGGATGTGACACCCGTTTGCGAGGTGACTTCAGCGGAGAGAGAAAGTCCCTGATGACACTGCAGGATGCCGGTCATCTTTCTTTCTTTCAAGTATGAACTGAAAGACTGCCTTAAGCAGTCTTAAGGCAGGCAAATAACTATTCTGCATTAGTACTGTAGTCTCCTGGGTAATATAACATCACCAGATGATAGATAGATAGATAGATAGATAGATAGATAGATAGATAGATAGATAGATAGATAGATAGATAGATAGATAGGCAGGCAGGCAGGCAGGCAGGCAGGCAGGCAGGCAGGCAGGCAGACAGACAGACACTTGTTTACTTTCTGTCCCTATGCTATGGTTTGTCTCCTCCTGCCATCTCCAAACTTCTTTATCTGCTCACTATATTCCTCTGCTTCTCAATATTTCCCGATGTCTCCCTAACTTCCCTATCCTCTCCCATCCTTACTGCCTTCCCCAACTTCACTTGACATTTCCCAGCCTGTACATTCTTTTCCATCTCTCCCATACTGCCTTCAGCAATCCTGTCTGCTCACCCATATAGCTAGACTGCAAAAAGGAAGTGTTTTGCTTGAAAAAATAATTGTATTTTTCTTTGGTTGAGGATTCTTTGATACTGAGACTGCAGCTGTAAACAAACAACAAAAGCTCTGTATCTTTTTCTTTAAAAAAATATATATTAAGTAATAAGAGAGAAAAAATGCCCCTGAGCAGAACTGACTATGCGAGGATTGTAACCATGCATCCATGCAGTTTTCTTGACAACGCTACAGAAGTGGTTTGTCCCTGTCTTCTAATTTTTGTTGTTTTATTTTGTTTAGTCTACAGTTCTGGGAATCCCCAGTGATCTGTCTTCCAAGTATCAACTACACCCAATCTTGCTTAGTTTCTGAATCCAAAGTTCTACTACCTGCTGAAAAAAACACTATGCTTTTAAAAATATACAGTTCTTTCTGATTAATAGAAGGAACTATGAAACAACTGCTCCTGCTGAAGAAAAAAAAGCTTCAGCTACTTCTTTTGGGGAGGAAGGGGGAGAATTTTCCGATTATGACTTCTTCCAGATAATAAAATGTAAAAATACAAGTGAAAGAAAAGAATGATAAAATAACATACATAAATTAAATAACAAAAGAAATAAAAAGTGGTTCCATTTACTCTAGGGCTGTATTTATATTATTTTACTTTATTTTATTTTTTTAATCAAACTTATTAACCATCCGTCCACCTTAACGAGAGGCTCACTGGAAATTACACATTCCTGCCCTACAGTAGTTTAGTTTAGTTTAGTTTAGTTGAGTTTAGTTTAGTTTCTAGAACATAAAACTACACCTTTTCAGAGATTTCTTCCATTGCTGATATAACTTTATCAAAAATATTTTTTCATAGACGAGTCAAAAAGTTGTCCGATTTTTTAAAATAAAGAATTAGTTGGAGTTTTGCCAACATATAATTGATTTCAAGCCTCTTTTCTTATCCATGTGAGGCAGAAATATAATTTGAGGAATATCAAATGTACCTCTAAATATATACTAAATTAGAGGACAAATCTATGAACACAACAAATGGGAGCGTATCACTGCTTTTTCACAATGGCCTGATATAAATATTGCATTGATGATGTAGTTTGGTTTTGGCCTAGAATGCTATGTGATTTATAAATTATGACGTGTTGCTTAGCTTGCTGTGCAAACTATAAAGTAATTATAGTTTATTCAATGAATCATGGATAAATAAACCTTGGTTCTATCTAACATATGAGCCCAGTCACCATATGGAAAAGCAGACATGATGTTTCTGCATGAGTTGATCAACTAGACATCTGCTAGTTGTGTTCTTTTTGAATATAAAGATGGGTTATATAGGAAAAATCATTCATTGTTATTTATAAGGTCCTTGGGAAATCCAAGGATAAGCTTAATTCTATAATAAATGTTTCTAAAAAGAAATATTTATAACATATTTCCCTATAACCTTTTCCAATAATGTTAAAACCAGACAAGGTATGCTCAATCCCTTTCTATTTATCATAACGTAAATCAAAACATCCAATTGTTTGGGGCTACAGACCTAAAATACTGAAAAAAGGACTGTCTTAAAATAGATTCTCTTGAAATAAAACTATATCTAAAGAATACTATTAATACTGTTAATACAAGTCATATCTGGAACAAACAGTACACTACCTATCAATATAGGTCTAAAGGGAAGAAGAAAAATATATTGTATTCACAGGAGGGACCCCAGCTCCTATTAAGGCAGACAAAGCAAAAACATCTTGCCAGAAGTGAGAACAAGTCTATTCCATGTTCAGACAATCAAGAAAATATAAACCAGAAGCCACTTACATGAGTTGGAGAGACAGCCTGACACTTTTTTCTCAAATGTGGCTGATCTTCCTTCTATTTTATTTATTAAACAAATAAATCTTCTCTTTGGCCAGAACAGGATACTAGTTTACAGATGAAATCCTCATATTTCATCTCCTGGGAAGAATTCATTACTAATGCAGATAATTCTCAAGTTATGACCATAATGGAGCATGCCCATTATAACTGAAAGTTGGGAGGATGTTAATGAACCACCTCACTTAGCAAGTCCCCATCCCCGCTTCCCTCTATACATTTATTAAACAAATGTGCGGGTCATTCAGTAGAACAGTGGTTCTCAACCTGTGGTTCTCAACCTGTGGGTCGGGACCCCATTTGGGGTCGAACGACCATTTCACAGGGGTCGCCAAACAACGCAGTCCGCCATTTTTTCCCCCTTTTCCTTAGCTGTGCTATTCCCTTTATTCTATTGGCTTTTGAAAGCCAATAGAATAGACTCTCTTGAATAGAGTCTAATTCTATTGGCTTTCAAAAGCCAATAGGAATTATCCAGGCTGTCTCTGCCCTGCTGAACCCGCGACCAGTTAGGGGTCGCGGCATTAAAAAGGTTGAGAACCACTGCAGTAGAATATGGGGTGCCTCAGGTGTAGGGGAAACTGTAGTCCAGGCACAAACCCACCTACCTCCAGCCTCCAAGGCCTCCCCCAACCCGAGATACCCCATGCTCCGCTTCCCACCCCTTGCGGTTTCCCCAGCCACTTGGGCCTCCTCTCTTCTCCCCCCCCCCAGTTACCGATTGCGCACCTATCTTTCGAAGGTCTCCAGAGCTCAGAAGATTGGGATATGGAAGGAGGACAGGCCACTCCATTGCTGGGCCACATGGCAGAATTCCACAAGCAGTCGTCTTTTTCTGAAACGCTACCAAAGCTCTTGGTTTTCCTTTCCTCGCTTGTCACCAGCCTTCCCTCACCCAGCATTAGCAGTACATCAGTGATGGCCACTTGTGGAATTCTGCCACGTGGCCCAGCAACGGACTGCCCTGTCCCCCTTCTGTATCCCAACCTTCTGAGCTCTGGAAAGGTAAGTGAGCAATTGGTGATGGGTGGTGGGTGGACAGGGATAGAGTGGCTAAGCAGACCCAGTGCCTGGGGGACTCGACAAGGCAGGATGAAGAAGAAATAGAAAGGAGAGGGACATGTTGCAGCATTTCTGCAGATGGTCACAAGAATGAATGACCGCAGAAGTGCTACGACAGACCTAACTTTGGGGCTGGGTCATAAGTACCTTTGGGGGGGGGGAGTGTTGGCGTAATTTTGTTACATTGCTAAATGACCTGTCGTAACTTGAGGACTATCTGTACTTAGAAAGTAACTCTTCCACATTTTCATGTCTCCTTAAGAAGCTCAACTGTATCAGTGGGGCACATCTTCTCCTGTTTTATATGATGAAAATCCTTGTGATTTTGCAATGCACTTACCCACGCTTAAGTGTAGCTGCATATTTTCTAATGGGTGCCAAATGCTACTTAACATACTTCACATTCTGGATCCGAAAAGAAAGACTTAAAACAGAGCCACAAAACAAATCAAGTCCATCTTACCCAACTATAACCAGATATAGATTAGAAATCTCCCTATATGATCAAGAAATCTGTGGAGGGAATGAGGCTCTAAGTAGAAGAAGCCATAAAAGTATGCACTGATTTAATAATGCTGATATATCAGAAGACCATGGGCTCAGAAGAACAAAAGGGGCCTTTAAATTTAAAGGTCCTTTAAATTCTGTTCCAAAAACAGAAACAAGGGGAATTTCAAACAAAACCCGGAGTCCTGTTAGGATATACAATAAGAAAGAATCTTTTACAAGAAGACTCTCTCTGTCTGGAGGAGACCAGATTCACTTGTATTCATCAATCTATGAAGTCTTAAAATAAAGCAAAGGCCGTGCTGGTCACTAGTCTTAAAATAAAGCAAAGGCCGTGCTGGTCACTGCATGATTTACGTTCCCAAGGAACAAAAAACTGAGCCTCTTTACCATCCTCTGAGCTCAGTCTGTGAAGCCACTTGCAACCTCAAGATAATTTCACTAGAAAGGTTGCATCATTACAAAATGGACTGCATGCCTTTCCTTTTAAGGGGATGCTATCCTGCACTTATTTTTTTTTTTAATTGCTGGAAAATATGTGAAGGCGCTTCCCCTGGAACAAACTCCTTATATCAAGGCATATTGTACACTGATGTAAGGATCAGGAAACGCCCCTGCATGCTCTGCATTTCATACTGACTCAATACGTTCCCTGGGCTTACGTCATAACTCAACTGTTCTGGTTCCGATATCTTTATATACTACTTATGGCTTGGGGGAAAATATGTTCTCTTACTAGGTGAAACCCAGAAAACCCAAAAACTCTATTTTCAAAAACAAGGCTACCTTATCAGAAACTGCCAAGGTGGTGATGATGTATGACAACCAGAGGCCTCCATGACTCAGGGAGGTGATGAACTGACAGGCAGATGGAGTCCATTAACCCCACTTCTCAATATAAGTTTTCCTGTAAAACTAACAGAAGGAGAAAGGGACTGCAAGCAACCATAAGGCACAGACTTTAAAGAATAGCCTGGAAGGAAAACCTAAAAGGAAAAAACAAAAACAAAACCATGCACAGAACTTTACTTAAAGTGCCTTTCTAATAGTATTTGAGGAGGAGGCGCATTAACCCAATTTGACTATTATCACATATTTTGTGGCAATCTGACTACTTTGACCAGATAGCAATTTTTGCAGAGCATTAAGTTAGAGTACTGTTTCCTGCTATTTATCTGTTTTATCTATCTGGATTGTGCATTCAGAAGAAGATGTTTACGACCCTCGTTCGGAAAGCAACTTTGGCGTATCGCCCACTACCTACACATCAGCCAGGGGAACCTGGGGTAAAATATGCAGGCAAGATGGTTCATGAAACTCAACTCAGCTGCTTCTATATTCCACCTGGAGGTAAGGATTCAGAGTAATGTGTTCTATAAAAATAAAATCTTTATTCTGTTTAAATTCTGTTTTGGGGTAGTGAAGAACCATGTTTAAAGTTCAGGCTATATGTTTTTTAATAGTTGTCTTCGGAGCAATTCAGGCTCAGCAAATCAAAACATTAATTAATATGAATGAGCTTCTACCCAGAGAAGATATTACAGTGAAACTGCTAGGGGAAAATGAAAATAAAGTATAAATTTTACAATATTATAGTAAAAGAGATATACTGCTATATATCAGGATAAAGAATTGTTTTGCATTGCCTAATATACTTGGGACTAGAACTTACAGGCTGTAATCTAATTCAAAAGAGGAGATTTATACATTTTAAGATTAAAATTTCATGTGCATCAATTTCATATTCAGTTTTGTTTTATTTTCTCTGCAGAAAAAAATACACATATTCTATAAAAATATTCTTTTGAAGCTTGTCATTTCCCAAGCCCACCTCATTTATTCTTTTTTAAATTTAAAATTGAAATTTACACATTTTTGTGACTTAAGCATAATAACAGCCTAAGAAATAGCAGTCATCCTTTAAACATGTAAGAAAAGATTGATTTTCAAATATTACACTGTTTTTTTTCGTATTTCATATTTCAATGGTAGGTACATAGTCACACCAACTTTTGATTGATTTTATCTAGTTGCATAAAATCACTGTCTGTAAGTATTCAATGGCAGAATAGAACATAAATAGAAAGACATTTGAAATGTCCCTCTTAAAAATACAACAATATTTCAATTTCCACTATTGTCTGCTTAATGTGGTTTATCTTATCTTCTAGAAATGTCTAGAATTCTCCAACCTGGTAATATATTCCAACACTACCACCACCACACGCCCCCAAATTTTCAAACAATCTGAAATGTTACCCATGGGCTGAGCTTCACGAAGGGGAAATGCTTTTAAATTCATTAATTGCTTGTATGAATCTCTCACAAATCTTTAAAAAGCTAAAAAAAAACAAAATCCCATCACATAATCTTTCACATGGATTAGAAACTCCCCAGTGAAACTGGAAAAAAAATACCCCAATGCAAAACTGCTACTAACTGCTGACAGTCTGCATAGTTTTGTTATCTTAGGCTCTTGAATTCATCTCTTCTCACATGGCATAGTTTTACTCTGATACAGTATTAAACATGAAGTTGTAGTCTAAAAGCTCTACATCTGAATTAGGTATAAACCAGCGGTTCTCAACCTATGGGTCGGGACCCCATTTGGGATCGATCGACCATTTCATGGGGGTCACCAAGCAAGGCTGTCCGCCATTTTCCCCCCCTTTTCCGGCGGGTGCCTTACCTCCCTTGGGCTGGGCCAGCTGGTGGCCCAGCCGGTGGTCGGCCTGCTCCATCTCTGCCGCTTGCCAGCTACGTCTCGGCCGGCGCAGGGAGCGGCACCACATATGCGCGGTGCTCCCGGGCAGGGAAAGTCCTTGACTTACGACAGGTTGGGTAGTCCTCAACTTACAACTGGTTTAGTCCTCAACTTACAACCGGTTGGGGGTCGCGACATTAAAAAGGTTGAGAACCACTGGTATAAACTCACATGTTGTCGAAGTAACACAGTTTACATATACATTTGCAAGAGAAACAAAATACCCGTTGATTTATATGTTTATTACTGTACACAAACTGCTGAGACTAGTTAATCTATCATGCTTGTTAATCTATCACACATAGCAGTTCTTTAAGATGCCAAGTAGATAAGTACAGTACCTGAATTTTTTAAACAGATGACCTCGGGATTTTTGAGGGGAAAAGCCTGAGTTCTAGTCTTGACCAGGAACACCTATAATTGCCGCAGTTGTAAAGTAGTACAGGTAGTCCTCCACTTAAAACAGTTCATTTAGTGACTGTTCAAAATTGCAACGGCACTGAAGAAAGTGACTTATGACCATTTTTCACACTTACAACCGTCGCAGCACCCCCATGGTCATGTGATCAATACCTGGGCGTTTGACAACTGACGGTCGCAGTGTCCCAGGGTCATGTGATCAGCTTTTGTGACCTTCTGACAAGCAAAGTCAAGGAGGAAGCCAGTTTCACTTAACAACTGTGTCGCTAGCTTAACAACTGCAGTGATTGACTTAACAACTGGGGCAAGGAAGGTCATAACACAAGGCAAAATTCAACAAATGTTTCTTTTAACAACATAGATTTTGGGCCCAATTGTGATCGTAAGTTGAGGACTACCTGCATCTGCCTTGAAAGATCAGTTGAAAAGCATACATAGTTCTGTATATGTTAGCCTCTGAGCTTTTGCTTGGAAAATATTCTACTCTTAACAATTTTACTGTAACGCTATGTAAGGAAGACTATGAAAAATCGTGTATATTCCACCTATTTTACTTCTCATAATACCCACTTTACTTGTTAATATAATCTGAAATCCAAGTGAAATGTATTGGAAATGGCTTGCTAAACCATCTCATTTATGGTGGTCAATTATTCACTAAGATTATCATTTTGCTATTTAAAAAACTTGGGCTGACTGCAACCAGAGAACTTTATTATTGTGTTACACTTCACAACTTGAAATTACATTCTGAGAGCAGCATGGGCTTAACAAACTCTTGCTATGGAATAAGAAAACTGAGCAAGAAAAAAAGGGCATATGCACGACAGCTGTTTAAGAACCCATCAATCATTTCTACTAATTTGGAATTGCAACAGCTGGATCAACTATTAAAATAACTCTAATCCAAGTATGATTTAGAACTAAACTAATATTGCTGGCAAGCTAATTTCACAGCATTCCCGTAACTAAATGTTATTAACTATAGAGTATGTTCTGAACAGAGTTACATCCACCTCCCCTTAAATTTCAGGTTTATGGTTTAGGAGAACTTCAATTGATTACCAGAGTTTTTGCAAAGCTACACAATCCAGCAAATCCAGCAAATAATTTTTGCAAAGCATTTTAAAAAGTGGCTTTGCAAAGCCCATGAGTATCAAAGTCTCTTCTTCAAATCATTAAAACAGTATGTCTCAGTCATGACATCTTCAAGTTGTGGACTTCAACTCCCAGAATTCCTAGCTAGCCATTAAAAAAATCTAATAATACACACATGTACATGCCCTCTAAAAAAAACCTCCAATTCTCACCTGACTTAGCCATCACAGCCAATAGTGATTGATAAGTTTTAATCCAAAATCACAAGGTCTATGCAATGCCAACTCTTAATTTACATCACATATTTCCAATTAATAGTCCATCTACTTTTAAATAATTACTTATTTCTATTTTTTTATTTAAAATATCACATTCTCATTTTATAATATAAAGAACTGGTTAACCGGCATTAAAATGCAGACAGAATGTTAGTCAAAATTATACATAACAGAAATATAGTTCATAGAATTTAAGTACTAGCCAATTTAATAACAGGGCATAAAAAGGTAATTTTCTGACAGTAAGCAATAATTTTGCTTCCCAGCTACAGTTAGCTAGACCAAGAAAATAGCTATTATTGACTTTATTTGTACTTACAGATGAAGTGAAGCTATTTTTGAATAAACATTTTGAATTGGAATAGGGAAAGTGTTCACTTGAAGGAAAACCACAAACAATATATTCTAAGTAATTAACAATAAAGGTAAACGAGATTGCTTTCAGAAGAGCGTATCTTAGCATATTAAACTGAGATATTTGTCAAGCCCTTTGTCTATACATACAGTTCTTTCATAACATGAGAATAAAAAACAAAAAGTCCCTAATTACCATCTTTTTGTTTTATTTGACCCAGCTAGGATAGCAGTAGCTAGTTGACCCTAACTGTTCTTAAAAAATCTAGAAGTGTTATTACTTGCATGAGGGGTTACCAGACCTAAATATATTTTACTTAATATATACTTAGGGGTAGAAAATCTGTGAAGAACCGTCCAAGCTTGGTTGTTTGCTTGCAGATGTTGCATTGCTCAACTAGGTAATATCAGATTTGCTCCCTGTTTATATATATATATATATATATATATATATATATATATATATATATATATATATAAGCTTGCCCTGCCAGTGTTGGTGGTGATTGGTTTTCTCTTCGGTAGATCCTTGATTGTTTTCTACTGGATTGTTTCCCTGGTGTTCATCCCTGCTTATTTGGATATTTGCTGCACCAAGTATTCCACAATTCAATCCTGACTACATATATTTTCTCCTACTGAGACATACATCACCTAGAAAACAATTGAACTTTTCTCAATTTCTTCAAAGTTCATACGCCAGCCAAATGGCATTATAAACTATGCTCAAAATTTTTAGGGATCCTCGTTCATAAAATTTCCTAAAACAGGAGGCTTTCCATGTATTACTAAAATAAGCTCTTGTGCCACTTGTCCTTTAACTCCTTTGGGAGGGAGAATCTTGAGGAGAGGCTAAAGTGCATACAGAATGTCCTTGACTTACAATCATTTGTTTAGTGAGTGTTCAAAGTTACAATGGCACTGAAAAAAATGACTTATGACCATTTTTTCACATTTATGACTGTTGCAGCCTCCCCATGGATGCTTGGCAATTGGTTCATATTTATGACATTCCAGTGTCCCAGGGTCAGGTGATCACCTTTTGTGACTTTCTGACAAGCAAAATATTGAAACATGCTGTTCTAAACAGAGGTTGTTTAGAAGCAGTGTTTAAGAAGCCCATTTTATATAACAATGCATTTTGTTCGTGCGTTAGTAAGTTACTCACATCTAGCATTTCTGTAGAGTAGAAAAGGATCCTGCAACTGGAAATCCAGATCTTTTGTTATGGGTTCTGTCCGATTTTCCATGCTCAGCCTATTCATAATGGTAAATCCATACTTGGGCGAAGCTGATCTGAAAATGATCAAGGTTGAAACCATTAAGCCAAGGTGGCCCAGCAGTTAGAGTGCAGTACTGCAGGTCACTTTAGCTGACTGTGTTCAGCAGGTCAGCGGTTCAAATCTCACCGGCTCAAGGTTGACTCAGCCTTCCATCCTTCCGGGGTAGGTAAAATGAGGACCCAGATTGTTGTATATATACATTGCTTACTGGTGTACACCGCTTAGAGAGTACTTGCACTTAAAGCGGTATATAAGTCTCATAAATAAATAAATAAATAAATAAAATATCTACTAAAAATAATTCAATTATTAGTATGATAAATATTTTTAAATCTTTTCAAATACCAACACTTTTATCATCAGTAATTTTTGATAGTTCAAGGAAATTATTATTTTCTCAAAAAACCTCAACAAAGAGCTGCCGCCGCAAGAACCAGTACTTGAGGGGCAATCGGAGAGGAAGGGGTTGTCTTATACTCCATAGCACTCGAGGGCAGGACAAAAAGCAACGGGTGGAAGCTCATTAAAGAGAGAGTCTACCTGGAACTATGGAGAACTTTAGAATAAAAAGCCATTAATCAATGGAACAACTTGCTTCCCAGAGTTGGTCATGTTTCCTATCTGCTTACCTGGGAAGGCTGACACACCATAATTTGGTTGCTGAACAACTGATCTTTAAGTGAGGACTGCCCGTGCATCTCCACTTTCCACAATTGTTCTATGTCAGGATAGCCCAGGGGTAGGCAACCTTGTCTCTTTTATGACTCGTGGACTTCAATTCCCAGAATTCCTGAGCCAGCATGGCAACCTCTCCCCTCAGCATGGCTGGCTCAGGAATTCTGGGAGTTGAAGTCCACGAGTCATAAAAGAGACAAGGTTGCCTACCCTTGGGATAGCCCTTCCAGTGATTTAAATATTTCAAACCCTCTTCCGTTTCTAAAATCTGAAACACTGTATTTCACAATAGTGGACAATTGCAAATGAAAGCCTACCAGGCTGATTTGAGCTCTCACAGGGAAGGGGCCCAAAAACTTTGAGTTGAGTTTCTTGGACTGATGGGAGGAAGGTAGAAACTGAATGAAAAACCATACTAACCCCCCCATAGCAGTTCCATTGAAGTCTCCACTCGTAGTTCTGTGTCCTATAAGCACTGGCTGCCCTTATCCAAATCAAGCTGCTCCCTTAAGATGAGCTGTGCTGTGTCTTTTTCTTTGGGAAATCAGAGGTTGAAAGAACCAAAGCAAGAATCTGGCGGATAAACAGTGTGGGTGAAAGCTATAATTTGCTTGGAAGGAGCCATGGCGCTAGAGCAGGGGTAGGCAACCTTGGCTCTTTTATGACTTGTGGACTTCAACTCCCAGAATTCCTGAGCCAGCATGGCTCAGCTTGGAAACTCTCCCTTTCCTCTCAGCATGGCTGGTTCAGGAATTCTGGGAGTTGAAGTCCACGAGTCATAAAAGAGACAAGGTTGCCTACCCCCCTGCACTAGAGGAATGCAGACTTGCTACATGCAAATTTTGCAAATGGCAACAAGTCTGTCCAACTGTTCTATTGATAGGCTATTTAGCAATGCAAATATTTTAATATTGCATTATTCTGCACGATGTTCCCATTCAATCCTAGTGATGTGTCAATGACAGAAGAATATTAATGTCCGGCAATTGAAAAAGGGGTTTTTCAGAATTGAGATATAAATTGAGAGCCATGAGATCAGGTCACACGATTTACTAAGCCCCTGAAAACGTGGCCTAGAAAGCGCTATGCAGTTTCCAGAGCAGATGGTCGTCCTTTAGAAGTAATAAAATGAGCCACCTTTCTAAACAGATCAGTAGAATGGTCATAAAACTCTGCACATCTGGGAAATCAGTAATAAAGTCCAGGGAAATTGTATCCTATAGTCCAATGGTAGAACATAATAGCTGGAGCAAACTGGCAGGCTTAGCAGAGATAGCTTCAACTCTACGGCAGACATGACATGAAGACAACTAATATCTTCTCTTGTCCTTTTCAACTACAAATCTCTAACCAAAGATGCAATGACTCAAAAAGTACCCCATGCCTTGCATTTTTATTGTACAGAGTGTAGAGATAACCATGAAGAAGTAATGCAAGACCACTTAAGTGAAACATCAGTTCAACTCTGAGAAAGAACAGGGAGTGAGGAAGAAACTCAAGATTATCCTGCCCGAGTTTCTTTCTCATTCTCACCTCTCTCTCAGGATTGAACGTAGGGCTTCTGAGGGCTTTGCTGCTCTTGCATTCCTTCTTCAAGGTTATTTCTGTACATATTATCGTGGATAAATTGCAACACCTCTTCCCAGAGAGGAAAAGGAATATAAAAATGACCATTATGAAAAAGTTCTTCAGCCAAAGATAAAAGGAGAAACAATCTGTGTAGTTCTGATGTGTTGGAACCCTGACATAGATCCTATTGTTATAAGTAAATCTGATTGAAAAGATTCACAATCTGCCATCCCCAATGTCTCAGCAATGTCCCTTCCCAGAAGGGAGAGCTAAAATTACCAGACCTCAAAATTGTAACAAGAGAGGACGCATAGAGAACGTCAAATTTGGGCTCGCACAACAGTAGAATCTGGCAGTTAATCTTGTGAAGTAGGAACAGCAGTAATGTGAAAGAATCAGCCCTTCAAAGTAGGCTAGATCAGGAAACAAACTCCACAAGTTTGATTGGAATTATATTTATTGATATAGATATAGTAACAGAATCGTGAAAGACTGACTTATAGTTTTATACTCAAGAGAGTTAGGACAGACCCAGTCTCAATTTGTTCCTAATATTTTGTTTCTGGGCTTAAAGCGTGTTTTTGAAGATATTATTGAAATCATCTCTGCATAGTTTTTCAAGGGACATCTCTGTGAATCTCTACATCAGTGGTTCTCAACCTTTTTAATGCCGCGACCCCCAACCGGTCGTAAGTCGAGGACTACTCAACTGGTGCCGCACCGTTTGCAGAATGGGACTTTTGGCAGGTTCAGCAGGGCAGAGACAGCCTGGACAATTCCTATTGGCTTTTGAAAGCCAATAGAATTAGACTCTATTCAAGAGAGTCTATTCTATTGGCTTTCAAAAGCCAATAGAATAAAAGGGAGTAGCACAGCTAAGGAAAAGGGGGAAAAAATGGCGGACTGCGTTGTTTGGTGACCCCCGTGAAATGGTCGTTTGACCCCAAATGGGGTCCTGACCCACAGGTTGAGAACTGCTGCTCTACATGAAGTTAAAGTAAGAGAAAATTTCTTCCCACCTGATCAAATATTGAGTGAGGCTCTGAGCTTTCTGTAATGTTCCAAATTCTTATGATCACAGTTCCCCTCAGTCAGGAGGAGACATCTTGACAAAAATGCAGCCATTGCTCAAAGAAAAATTTAAGGCATCACTAGGCACAACAAAGAGTCAACTAAGATCTGAATGGTGGAGGAGAGAGTGGAGGTACAAGTGAAGCTTCAAGCCATGAAAAACCCGCTTGTTCTTGAGTAGGTAGACCTTTAAAACTGAAATCTTTTTTTAGAAGCTAAGTTAGTCGTCTTGTACACTTAGCAAAATCTGGAAAGAAGCACTTATAAAAGTTGGCAAAAACTCCCAAAGTCGGACATCCTTAACATTTCTAGGTCTGTGCTATATAAGAATGGGTTGCCCCTTGGCCAGATCCATCTGCACTCCTTGTGTCCTATGCTGGAAGATCAGCTGCCACTTTCCAACTTGACACAGATCCTGTATTTGCATAGATGCTTTAACATATTCCTGACATGAACAGATGCAACAATCCTCTGAATAAATAAAAATATATCTGCGTAAACTATACATATTTGTCCAGAATATCTCATTCATGAATTTGGAAAAGACAGGGCAATTAACTAGACCAAAAAGCTGTACTCAAACTTGCCTGTAAGTTTAGTAAGACTGCTAAATATTCATAATCCTCCTTCATTCAAATTAAATTGCAAGCTGCTCTCAAATCCAATTTAGTGCAATCATGTGCTTTCTGAAGGTGGTCCAGCAGATCCAAAAAAAGAGGCAGTGGGTAATATTCTCTAATGGTCAGAAAATTGAAGTCGAAAGTCATAAACTGGTTTCAAGGAAAAAGTATTTTCTTTTCAATTAACAAAAATTATGTTGTAGATTCAACAAATGCAAGAGGGCAAATAGTTTCTTCAGATTGTTGTAAAGAAACTGCTTTAAAGAGGCCAACTCTTGAGTAGACATGGGATATTGTGCTTAGCTAGGATCTGGCTCCAGGTAGCAGACTGCTAGGACAATCACATGACTGGTGTGCAACCTTCTCCCCCCCCCCCCCAAAAAAAACATAAGCCAAAATCTACACACTTTTCTGGTAACGAAGATGGCTCAAGCAGCAGCATAGGAAGGGGAGAAGAACAAGAGTACAATGAGTGCATCAGATGGCATTCCCATTGTTGTGAGCTAAATGAACAATCCCTGATTCCTAGTGAATATCAAGATTATGTGCCTGTAGCCAGTCTGTCATTCAAAACAACTGGGATGTGAAAGAAAGCTATCAAATATAAATGAAATGGTTCTTCACGGTCATTTATTCTCAGCTACAAAGAAGTTGTTTGTGCAGGATAGGTCCTGAGGTGAGGGGCCTGATCAACTCCACCTGCATAGCCTTCTAGTGGTTGCACATGCAAGCCCAACTGCTGTATACGAGCCCCATCTATGAAATTAACAGACACCCCAAAATTCAAAAGTATTGATGTCTGAATTTCTCAGCTTTTGAGGCTCTGAATACTAATGAGGAATATAACTCTATTCTTTTTTTTTCCTGGAGGTCTGCTAATCATTCTGTCACAAGAGATTAAAAATATATAATTGGCCATTCCTTTATTTATTTATTTATTTATGAGACTTATATACCGCTTTAAGTGCAAGCACTCTCTAAGCGGTGTACACCAGTAAGCAATGTATATATATATTTACATTGCCCCCAACAATCTGGGTCCTCATTTTACCTACCTCGGAAGGATGGAAGGCTGAGTCAACCTTGAGCCGGTGAGATTTGAACCGCTGACCTGCTGAACACAATCAGCTAAAGCTTATGATTAAAGTTCCACCCTTTTTTTTACATTGGTCATATAACCATAAATCTTCAAGACACCATTATTTTGACCCATCCAACTGAGATCCCTGATTATAATTAAAATATTTCCCAACAACTTTAAGATTTTATATCATCACTGAATCATTTTCTTTAATATACCGTGTGTTGTTTTTTTAAAAACTGACCTATATGTTGTTTTACATTTATATAATTATTAGGGGCATACCTTGAAAGAGCAGAGTGTGCATATTCCTAGCAAAGGATTTGCAGAGTAATAACTAGTTATACAAACAGTGGAATGTTGCATTGTCCCCACATTTATTTTTCACAATCTTGAAGGCTCCTTCCAGTTTATTCATTTGATTCTCCGCATATAAAGCATAAAGCTATGGTTTTTACTTAGAATAAGCCTTATTTCTTACCTAAGGCGTATAGGATTGTTGCCCAACTTTCCTATTATGTTAACACAAGAAGAAATTTATTCTATAGATGCTTTGTCACCATTTCTCATTTTTCCCTGTACATTTTCAGCACATAGCAATTGAAACTAGTGGGACATTCTAATCTGAACCCAAATTTAATACCACTGAAAAGAATCAGAATAAATATCTGGGAAGTGTTTCAAGTTGATAGTCCCAGAGGACATTCTGAGCAGGAGACCAAATGTACAATACATGAAACAAGGCAACAAAAATGAAACAAAAATGGAACTGAAAGAAACTAAATACAATAACAATCAAGGCATCTTCGTATCTGCAGATTGTTCAGTTTGTTTAATTGTCACCTCCAATAGGATAACTTCTAATATTTTAAATTGCATTTCTTTCCCCCTCAATTTTATCAGCAGCAATCTCTAATCCAGTTTAATTATCCAAATAGCCACAGCTGCAAGATACAATCTGTCATCACCATGCCTTTTATTTTTAACACACTGAACCAGTTATTTTTCAAGAACAAAATGTGTGAATTTTAAAATATTTGTTTGTGAATACTTCATAAGCAAAGCAAACATTTTATTTTATTTATTAGATTTAAAACTGTCCCTCATTCAAGGCTAAATAAGCTCCCGGCTGATATTACTGAGAAATCAAATTCAGATATTCTTAAGCATTCGGTGTCATTCCTTCGATTATTAATTACTGCAATCCCAAGATTCCTAGTGGCTGGCAGTCAATGCCCAGTTACGTAACCTATATTCTGATAAAAACAAAATGTCACACTTGCTATTTATTTATTTATTGTAATATTTCCACTTCCCTTTAGATATATACAAATTAAAAGGTCTTACAAACAGTATTTTAAAATGAGATGTACAGATATACAATTTAAAAGGAAGTGGGGATTTTCTGGGGTGGGGAAGGAGATGGCAAGAGAAGGTGTGATTGGCCAAACTGAAATTAAAAAAAAAAAAACCTCCAGAATAAAGTGTTCATTAACATTTATTGCAGAATTCATATTTATGGTGGAGAAAGTATAGCTATATGCATGTATACAGAGACTGATTTCCTTATTATTTCCTCATTATAACTTATTCCTTCAATATGCTAGCCAGACTATCTTTGGAGATACGGTGAATAGAACCAATTTGGTCACAGGTTCCTGGTTTCTCTCCTGTTGCCACTCAGGATCAATTCAGTTTATTGTGAGCATTTTCTTACAAGAGTGCTTTAAGCAGATCACATGCGGGGGGGGGGGGAGATCTCACAGGTTTCATGTATAGGGGGCAGTACCTTTTAGCATGCCACCCACACTGGATATACATTGCAAAAAAAAAAAAAAGCTTTAATTCTTGAATGGGAGCCATGCGAGGTTTGTTATAAAATGTGTAACTATATAAATGTTTTAAATAAATAAATATAGGAAATGAAAAGTGTGAATTGGATCAAAGTAAACAGGAGTTTTACAGAGGGGAGGGGAGCTTGTGCTTAAGAAGCCCCAAACCGGCCACTGAAGTGAAATGTATAAATACAGATAAGTCCTTGACTTACGGCTACAACTGAACCAAAAAAATGTGTTGCTAAGTGAGCCATTTGTTACGTGAATTTTGCCCCATTTTACGAACTTTCTTGCAATAGTTGTTAAGTGAATCGCTGAAATTGTTAAGTTGGTGACACAGTTGTTAAGGGACTCTGGTTTCCCCACTGACTTTGCTTGTTAGAAGATGACAAAAGGTGAACACATGATCCTGGGACACTACAAACATCATTAAGTATGAATCAGTTGATTTTTGATCATGTGACCATGGAGATGCTGCCACAGTCGTAAATGTGAAAAATGGTCATAAGTCACTTTTTTAAGTGCCACTGTAACTTTGAACAGTCACTAAATGAATTATTATAAGTCGAGGATTACCTATAGCATGATCTCAGAAGCAATTTCCCACGAATACCACCCATAGGCTGTAACTCTCTGGATAACCACTCGATGGCAGCAAAGGAACACCCAAAATTAATTTCCTGCTGTCCTGATTTTTGCAGGCCAGACCCAGTAACCTTAACTATCCCCTTACACGCCTGGAGGCAGAGTTCTGACTTCAGAGGAGGAAAGAGATTATTTTCATGAATGATGGCATCAAAAGACTGTTGAGGAGGCTTGGACTGTTAGCACAGGCCCTCTGGCACAGCCCTCAAACACAGCAGAGGTTTACAGCAAATGAAAAGGCACACAAATATAATCTTCCACTGTCTGCTACACAATACTTGGAAGAAACCTATTCTTTCAATTTTATTATTTTTCTAAAAGGAGAGACAGAGAAAGATTTTGTCCCAAAGAAAAATAAATTTGCTGAACAAGTTATTTTAAATATCAATTTATCATATTAACAGCCAAGTGAGGACATTTTATTTGGTGTTTGGATAGCTGCACCAGAGGAAAATAATATTTTGAAATGTGCGACTGCTGATTCAAAAAATTAATTCCTTTGCTCTTTCTTTTCTGTTTTGAGAATTGAATGACTTAACAACTTTAATCAAACAAATATTTTAATGATCTCACCTTGTATATACAAATAGTGTTCCTTCCACATCAGTCTTCTCCTAAAATCAAATTAAAATTGCTTAGTTGTTTTAATGATGCCATGCAAATGTGCAATCAAGCTATTAAAAAGTCTTATTTTGTAGAGACAAGTAACTTGTGTTTTTACACCTTTAAGTGATTGCTGCCTTTTTAGCACATTAATGTATTCTAAGTCCATTCTAATTTTTCAAAACATCCAGTATACCTTTGTCCCCTGTAGTCCACAATCTTAAAACTTGTGTGCTGAGTACATGCTCCTAAAATGAAATGTTTTTTTCTCCACTAGGAAAAATTAAAGACAGGTTTTAATTCTTTTGAGATAGCAGCCATTTTTCCATATTTTGAGCACTTTACTAAATTATAATATTTGTGGTAGGTATCCTGTATTAAGATCTTTATACTTGAGAAAACAAAACAAAACAAAACACTAACAATTCCTAAGAATGCTTTCATTACCAAATTTAGCACATGGTGCCGGTAAGGAATTCCTATAGGTATGGCATGCTTTATTATTGGTCTATAAATCATGAGAACAAGGCATTTGTTAGCCATCTGATTTTTAAATGCATCAGAAAAGTGATATGACTAACAATATTTGCCATAAAATATACAATCGACAGATATCCCATATTTTAAATTTAAAATAAATTCATAAGCAATGTAATTGTACTTATATTGACAAACCATATTTGACAAACCATTATATTGACAAACCATATTTCTGAAAGCCTGGAGTGTACCTGACCACAGAAATCCATTAACACAGAAATCCATTTTCCTGGTATAAATAAGTCTGTCAAGTGATTTAAAAAGACTTTAATAAAGCCTCACATAATAGCCATCAATATAAAAAAGTTAAAAAATGTATGCAAGGTAGAAAGCATTAACAGGTTAAAAGAATTAGTATGGATAACAATATTTTTATATACCCTATACCAGGGGTCCCCAACCCCCAGTCCACAGCCCAGAGCCAGTCTGTAGCCTATTGGGAACCAGGCCACGCAAGCAGCAGGCAAGCACAAGCACACAAAACCGTCCCTTCCCCCCTGGCTGCCAGTCTGCCAGGCCAGAAAGATTGGGGACCGCTGCCCTATACAGCAAGTGCTTAGTCTTAATTTAGTATTACCATTATCCTGAAAAGGCTATATAAAAAGAAAAAAGTCTACATAGCAATACATATAAAATAGGCAAACTGTATCGGGCTGGAAAAATATCTGGATATGAGCAAGAATATACAAAAAACTATTTTAACTGCCATCTACAAGACACCCAGAGTTTTACAATTCACATGTAGCAGTGATGGCGAACCTTTTAGAGACCGAGTGCCAAAACTACAACCCAAAACCCACTTATGCATCATTGGGTGCTGAGTGGATGAGGCCCATTGGCTGATATGGCCCATTGGGTGGGCGTGGCTGCAGTGGTAACGGCAGACTGGGTGGGACTAAAAAGTTCAATCAATCAATTCCAACTTTGCAAGATTTTTTTTCCCCGTGAGGTTGAAATGAACTGATTGATTGAAACTTTTTTTTTGTACACGGCGGTGGAGGCCAAAAGCGAAAAGGTTTTATAAAACCTAGTGAAGGCCTAGGACTGAGGCGACGGTGCGCGTGCCCACAGAGGGGGCTCTGAGTGCCGCCTCTGGCACCCGTGCCATAGGTTCGCCACCACTGACATATAGTATGCTTAACATATATTCCACCTTTTAAAGACATCTATATTATATTATTAATACATGCTAATTATTTTTTCATATTCTAGATAGATGTGACTTTCAACAAGTCACATACGTTCAAATATCCCGTCAAATTTGTTGAAGTTAAAGGGTCAAGATAGTAAAAATGCCATTCAAGTATGAAAGATTGTTCCTGGAAATACTGAGAACTTAAGAGTTCCAAATTTAGTACATATAATTCAGGAAAGAGAAAAACTGAATTTTGAATTCATGTAGAGTCCAAGATAAGACAAGCAATCATTGTTTTATGTACAAGAACTTCCAAGGACAGCCAGTATTGAAGAATTCTGGAGAACTCTAAAACAGGGGTCCCCAACCCCCGGGCCATGGACCAGTACTGGGCCGTGGCATGCCAGCAACCGATCCACACAAATAAGCAAAGCCCCATTTGGGGGATGCTGGCAGCACACAAAACCACGCGTCCTCCGGTCCACGGGAAAACCTCTCTCCATGGAACCAGTCCCTGGGGACCTCTGCTCTAAAATGTCTCCTTTCCCCCCCTCCCTCCCATTTTGGTCAGTGCTAACAAACATATTGTCTAGTTCTGGATTTTGGAATTACTATGCATGGGGGACTGCTCTTTAGAAGGCCAGATCCTGAAGTTGAAACTCAAATACTTTGGCCACCTAATGAGAAGGAAGGACTCACTGGAGAAGGGCCTAATACTGGGAAAGATTGAGGGCAATAGAAGAATGGGACGACAGAGAATGAGATGGCTGGATGGAGTCACTGAAGCAGTAGGTATGAACTTAAATGGACTCCAGAAGATGGTAGAGGACAGGAAGTCCTGGAGGAACGTTGTTCATGGGGTCGCGATGGGTCAGACACGACTTCGCAATTAACAACAACAAAAATGCATGGGGGATCATAAATGTTGGGTCCAATAAAAGCACAAATAATTCAATTGTAATGTAATCACACTCAATAGTCATATTTTGGAATTTAACAGGCAAAATATCTTTTACATATTCCAGAAAGGGAAGAGAAGTTTGATGAAGTGGTGAGTCAAGGAATGTATCAGGAAAGGGTCACTTAAGAAAATAAAAAGTAGAAGAATCACTTAGAGCTATGTAAATCAATGAACGAAAGAGACAGTGGCATCAACCAATGAAAAAAACCCACTTGAAACATTTTAATGAATTGGTATAAAATTAGTAATAATAAACTGATACTGAAAGGGGAGCCAGATATATGCTCTGCCCTATAAACTTCATTTCTGTTTGAAAAGAGCTTCACCAAAACAATGAACAGTGTAAATATGTAGATGTGTTATGGTCTATTTATTGTTAATTTGGAATTTTAAGAGGAAGTTTGGTGTGGTGATTAAGGCAGGCTAGAAACTGGAAGATCATGAGTTCTAGTCCCACCTCAGGCACAAAGCCAGCTGGGTGACTTTGTGCCAGTCACTCTCTCTCAGCCCTAGGAAGGAGACAATGGCAAACCACTTCTGAAAATGCTGCCAAGAAAACTGCAGGGACTTGTGCAGACAGTCTCTGAGAATCAGATACGACTGAACAGAAAAAAAAGGGGGAGTTCGTTTTTCCTGCTTTAATAGGGTAGCTTCAAGTAATCTTTTCTGAAGAGGAAAGGGTAAGAAAAGCAACTAATTCCAAATCAGAATTAAACCCTTCTGAGTGAGGTAGCTGGAAACAAGATTATCCCTCACCCAGCCAATTCCAAGTGGGAGAATGGGAGGAAAGGAGACACAGATGACAAAAGTCATGTTGTGCCATTACCCACAAGCTTTGTCTCTTTTGTTTGTGCTTCATATTGCACAGATCAGACAAAAAAGGAGGTGCTTACACTGCAAAAACATGATGCTGATTTCATTATTTTGACAAAGCATTGTATTCTGCCAATGTCTGTGGAAGGAGAGGCCGGTGTATTCTACCTAGCACAGGCATGGACAATTGATTTTCCAAGGAGCTACATGAGAAACTGGGCTTTTGTGGAACGTCAAAACACAGAGCTGTGAAGGTGGTAAGCACACATGCAAGCACATAGGTAATTGGGGAAAAAAAAACAGCAGTCACCTTTAAAATAAAAGCCATGCAGTTGTATTGTGTGCATGGTGTACACTTATTTACAGGGGCAGCCAAAGGGCCGGATGTGGCTATAAAATGCCCACATCTGACCTAACGGACATGTTTATCATCTCTCCCTTGGAAACAGGCAACAATCTGAAGTCAAAACTTTTGGTTTACTCCTGCAGGTAGCAAACTGGGGGAGTCAGTTTGATCTAGTGCAGGAATAGGCAACTTTGGCCCTTTTATGACTTGTGGACTTCAACTCCCAGAATTCCATGCTAGCTCAGGAATTCTGGGAGTTGAAGTCCACGAGTCATAAAAGAGCCAAGGTTGCCTACCCCTGATCTAGTGGTTAAGGCACCAGGGCAGAAACCAGGAGACTGTGAGCACTAGTCCTGCCTTAAGCATGAAAGCCAGTTGGGTGATCTTGGTCATTCTCAGTCCAATCCACCCCACAGGCTTGTTGTTGTGGGGAAAAATGTTCGTTGTCTCGAGTTATTTATTAAAATACAGGGAGTCCTCGTCCTATGACCTCAACTGAGCCAACATTTCGGTTGCTGAGTGAGATATTTGTTAAGTGGGTTTTGCCCCATTTTATGACCTTCTTTGCCATAGTTGTTAAGTGAATCACTGCAGTTGTTAAGTTAGTCACACGGCTGTTAAGCAAATCTGATTTCCCCACTGACTTTGCTTATCAAAAGGTCGCAAAAGTGATCACATGAGCCCAGGACACTGCAACCGTCATAAATACGAGTCAGTTGCCAAGCGTTTGAATTTTGATCACATGACCACGGTGATGCTGCAACGGTCTTGTGAACAATGGACATCATAAGTCACTTTTTACAGTGCCCTGAGTGGTCACTAAATGAACGGTTGTAAGTCGAGGACTGCCTGTAACATAGGCGGAATAAAACAAATAAATAAAGTCAAGTTCAGCTCCCAATGATTATGCCCACACACCCCTGCAGTTTTCTTGGCACCATTATGGAAGAGGTTCTTCCAGGATTCATCATGGAGAACATCTGATATCCACATAGATGCTAAGAATCAACAATGACTTGATGGCACATAATCAATTAAAATAAAAACTCTTCCGTAATGGGAATTTGTTTACTTTCCAGGCCAGCCTTCAAATCTGAAACTTCCTGGGGCTCCCAACAGGCCCAAACCTGATTACCGAGGATGCGCAGTGAAGCGTTTTGCCATAAGGAGCTCCCTTGCAGGCACTCCCATCTTTGCCAGCTGTAAAGCGCCTATCCCAGTGTTTCCCAAACTTGACAATTTTAAGGCATGTGGACTTCAACTCCCAGAATTCCACAGCCAGCGTTGCTGGCTGTGGAATTCTGGAAGCTGAAGTCCTCATGCCTTAAAATTGTCAAGTTTGGGAAACACTGGCCTATCCCAATCATCAGTTATTAACCTCAATGTATTTGGACAGCCTAATACTAGGTGACTAAAGGCCAAGTGCACTAAAAATAGGCTGGCTGGAATTGTTCTGCTTCATAATCTTATACTACGGAGGAGATGAAGGGGGTGGGATTTAGGACACTGATTTTTGGATCATCCATATTGTTAATTATTCTGGAAACTGATTAAATCTACTCTCGGACTCTTTTAACTTGGTGCTAGATTGTGGCTATGTCTGTTTTGAATGGGAACTTGGATGTGGTATGTAACTTTGGCTGCTCCTCCACTAGCAGGCTGCCCCTCTCCTCTCCTTATTCCAGTGCCTCTCTGCTTATCTTGGCAGCCAGGGTAGTTCTGCTGGCAGATCTCTGGAGTTCATTAGGAGAAAGTGCTCCCTGACGCAAGAAAGGGATTTCTGCAAGCAAAATTGGCATGTGCTTCATTTAGACCTTGGGCAGATAACCCCTCTTTCCCATAGGTGCTTTTTCACAAGGCAATTGGACTTTCTTGTTTTTTCTTTGAAGACCTTTCGCTTCTCCTCCAAAAAGCGAAACGTCTTTAAAAAAAAACAAAAAACCCACAAGAAAGTCCAAATGCCTTGTGAAAAAGCACCTTTGGGATAACTATGACCTGGATTACTGAGAATCTCCATAGACATAACCCAGGGGTAGGCAACCTCAGCTCTTTTATGACTCGTGGACTTCAACTCCCAGAATTCCTGAATCAGCTGACTCAGGAATTCTGGGAGTTGAAGTCCACGAGTCATAAAAGAGCCGAGGTTGCCTATCCCTGACATAACCCCTCTTTGTCCCTTTTGAAATAAGGTCAGGCAGCAAAGAATAGTCAAATACCTCCTAAAAAGAATAAAACGGCATTAAATTGGAAGAAGGCTCCTTCCCCCCCTTTAACCATTTCGGTAAAAGGGCAATGATCATAATGATTTCTGCCCAAAATATACGCAAGGCAAATTTGAATAGGAAAAATGACCTCGAGTTAAAAGCGAAGGGAGAGTCATTTAGAGGGTTTACGGGACCTCCCTTTTGAGTGGATGCCACGTAAAGGCTTGAAAGACTCCTCCCCCTCCCGCTCCTATACTATGGAATTTACGGTACGGGAACGACAGCTACTTTATTCCGTCTTTCTTCCACTTCCCCACCACCGTCCCGGGATTGCACTCGCTCACGCACCCACTCATTGGCGCGATGCCCGAAAGTGTAGAGCGCCACCTGGCTGGCCACGTCCAAGATGCTGCTGATGTAGGGGTCGTGCCGCTGGAGAGCCGCCAAGCTGATGTCCAACCCCTTGCCCAGTGGGGCAGCCCCAGCCACTGACGCAGCCATCTTGCCTCCGAGAAAAATAACTCCCCTCATTCGGAGCAGGCACAACTAATCAAGATCCGAGAAATAGATTCAACACGACGACTTTTCCACCGATCGCTCGGAATTGCAAAACTGGGTGATAAGGAGCCCCGCCAATCGAGTACCGATTGCCGTTAGCACCGGATTGTTGCTATTGACAACCCTTCCAGCTTTCCCCTCGCCGGTCTTGGCTTTTGATTCCTCCCTCTAGCATTTTTTAAAATAATTTTTCCAACTAACTTTAAAAACCCAACTCCGTGCGACATTGAAATAAAACGCAAATTCTTTGCAACTCCCAAAGACACTGCCAATAAGATAATCAATATGGGGAGATCTCTTGCCCCCCAAATTAGAGAAAATTCAACATTGAATTTTCACGTTAGATTTAGATGGAGAAACTGAATAGTTTCCTATATTCTTTTTTATAATATTTAATTAATTTTCTCATTTTACAATTGGGTATAATCTTGATATCTTATTGCCAGGACTGCAGTCTTTATCCAGAAGACTTCAGTCTGCTGAGGAATTCTGAGAATTGAAGTCTACAATTCTTTAGGAGTAATTAAAAAAAAAATACCATACCACTTGGCTGATGCAAACTGCCCTGTTTTACAAAAAGTTAAGCTGAAAATGTATTGGAATTCTGCTGCATTAAATTTTCTATAGATTGATAGATTAGTAGGAGATAACTCTGATAGCCACCGCTGATCTTTCTCTACAGCACTGTTTCTCATCCTTGGCAACTTTAAGAGGCCATCCACACTTCTTAAAATTACCAAGTCCTCACTTCTAAAATTTGCTGAGCTCCAGAAAAATTGCTTTAAAGGATAGTCTTCAGCACTGAAAGAAAGGACAGCCTCCTCCCCCCCCCAAATTAGATATTTTACTAATCTAGAAAAGCTTCTATCTGCTAGTAGGTTAATTGACTTGTCCTAAACTTGTTGAAAGGACAGATTGATTGACCTGCCCATCCCATGCCTTCATCTTAAGATACTAGTAGCTCTTATTTTGGGGTTAAATCAAATACTAAGGTGGTGTGTCGGGATGGTTTTTCCAACTTTTTTTTTCTTCAAAATTTAACTACAAATTGTTGCTTCTATGTCAAGGCAAACAAATGAAAGGGAGAGGATAAAAATTTATAACTCGCAATCATCATTGATTCTTTAAACTTATTTTTCATGAGATGTTAAAATTATTTTTGCAAATATTAGACATTTTTGCTACTCCCTCATTTTTTGATAATTTTCTAAGTTTCTGGGATCCTTACTTTAGAATTTCCCAAATGATTGATGATATTGGGAAATACTTTCTTTTATTATAAACTAGAGATGTGGAGGAGTCTGGGAGCACCTTTTCCAACTTTTTTTTAAAAATAAAATAGATTAAAGGGAATATAGTACACTTTAATCTTAGAGCCTATGCCTTTTAATAAAATGTGTAGCTGGGAAAATTGCTCCCAGATGTGTCCTATTTTTTTTTTTGGCCATAATAGACTAACATAGGCTTGGGTGATAAGTTGGTTGATTAATTCCTGTTGCAACCAACATAAGGGTTTTTTTTCACAATCTGAAGAAAGGACCTTGCAATTGTGTTAGGAAGAAAAAAAAAAGACTAACATAGCTTTCTTTCCTTTTTTGATTTTCCAGTTTAGTGCAGTGGTTAGAGTTCTAGTCCTGTTTTAGACACAAAGCCAGCTGGGTGACATTGGGCTAGTTACTTTCTCTCAGCCCTGTGAAGGAGGCAATGGCAGACAACTTCCAAAACAATTTGCCAAGGAAAGTGCAGGGACTTGTCCAGGCAGTCTTCAAGAGTCATACATGACTGAACAAAAGGAAAAAAAAAAACTTCTGGCTTCAGAAATCTGGCTGCCCATTAGGTGGCAGAAAATAATTATTTTCTATATTAAGTTATTTTTGCTGCAGTTTCAATATTGTCTGTATTTTCCAAAGCTGAGATACAGTAGTTCTAACTAAGCCATTTATTTCCATTTTTAAATAGAGAGGTAATAAATCACCCACCAAACAACTGTTTTTAATTATGACATACTAATATATAGCTTTCCTGCATAAACCATCAAATGGAGCATTCTCTGGTTGCCTAACCACATGTCATTAAGGCTTTCTCTTTTAAACCAGAAAAAGTAAAATCTGGTAACTACACAGACCACACGTAGGCAATTTTCTTGACCACAGAAAATTAGTCATTGGCGTCTTAGATTTTTTTTTGTCTCATCTCTTTATAGTCCCTCATCCAAATACTAAGATTTATTTCTGATTACCATTTAAAAGATCAGCCAAAGTCATGGTAGTGAGCCAGAAACCATCACAAATCTCTATGGAAAAGGTACACAATTGTTCAATGTGTCATGGCTTCCCATTTGTCTGGTTTCTTATTCAATCAACAGAGATAGGAAAACTAACTAGGCAACTAGATGACAGCTTAATCAATCGTGCAATATACTGTATATTAGTAAATACTGATTCAACAGAAATGAAACAGATGTAGGATGAATTGCCTCCTTTGTTTCATCTGATTGTTCATTTTGAATTCGAGACCCTTCTTCCCTCTATAATTTTTTTCTGGCCAAACCAGAAAATACTGGAAAAACTACTCATGAAGGTTGGGGAGAAAAGGGTTCAGATAAAATGCACATATTTATTTATACAGCACACAGATGGGTAATACTGCCCTCTAGTGCTTTGTTCTTAACTGCTGCCTACAAAGTAATACTGTAATTGCTGTTGAAATCTTCCTTAAATCCTTAACCTAACATGGAAATGTTTATGTTAGGATTGCTAGATCTGGGCTGCAAACAACCAGCAATCACCAGATGGTAGTCCAGAGTTGAAGATTTCTAACAGATCAGGAGCCCAGATGTGCCAGCCCTAGTTTAATAAATTTTATATCATTAACCATATAGTTAAATCACGAATGCTAAGAGTTTTGTATTTTCAGAATCCTGAAACTATCTTGTCAAAACTTTTTTTCTAAATAAGATCCAGGGTGATAAAGTGATTAAGGTTCAGGACTTGGAGTAGAAAGACTCAAATTCCAATCTATCCTCAACCAAAGAAAGTCTTAATATTTTACTAATTCATTGGTTATTGACAGATTAATTATAATATTCAAATAGATAATGCTCAATAGTGATTTTTCCGGAAAAATAGGTTGCTTCTTACCATGGCTGATGTTTCTCTACTAGCAAAATGTGCTAAATGTGTTAAAATATACTAAAATAATTTGCGCACATATATTAAAATAGTTTATCCAACTCTTGGCAAATGCTGAACCACATATGATCTGTACCTGTCCTGCTCCATCTTCCAAATTCAGAATTGAAAGAACATTTGTGGCAACAGAACTTGTCCACAGGTCATTTTGGTGAAAAGATTTAGGTTGTCATTCCTAGCCTTTTTTTATTAAAGTGGCTTTCTGGTACAGAAACCAGGGTCTTGGAACTGAACTCGGGGTCAAAATGACAGTTGGGATTCCATCCCATTTCATATTCTAATCAAGTTCTCAGACAAAACTGCTTAGGTTATCTAGAATGGATAGTGCTGAGGCCTGGATAGTGGAAGTGAAACCCTGTGGATTCCTTTATTTTTTTGGGGGGGGGGTGGGATTATAGATAAGCAGCATCAAAAGCAAATTTATTGTTTCAACAGAACTTTGTGTTTCTCAAAAGATTTCTTCTCAAGCCTTCTGCATTTGCTGGGGGGGGGGAAATCAATTTTCTTGTGAAGTGGACACAGGTTGACAGATTCTCCTACTTTCTTAGATTTGGGTGTTGCTCTGTGAACTGTGAGTTCTGCATCTATACAGTTGCTCTAGGCCTGTCCACGTAGATAGATCTCTCTCATTCATTGAACTCTTTGAAGTTCAACTCTTTTTGGCATGACAATTTCGTGAATGAATCAAGTAAAAATGGAAAAAGATATACTCACCTTTGTTGGCTCTGACTGCATATTCCTATTTCCTTTGTTTCTGTAAGATGGGACTCTTGCATGCTGGAGCTATTTAGGTTGGGAAAATTCATTGGAGGTACATCTTTTGCTGCTAGCCTCTCAGCAAATACATCATGCAGTTCCCATTCAACATCCTTGATACTTTTATTTTCCATTTATTTGTCATGGGCTTTAGAGCAAAGCATTATTGTGCCTTTCTCAATGACAGGTACCCTATGGTGGATATTTAGTCAAGAATAATAGTATACTATTGTTTTTTTCTTACTTTTTCTACTGCAAGAAAGACAACAGCAAACAGGAATAAACTCTAAAAACTCAACTTTCTCACTTTTCTCTACAATTCAGGGTTTCTCTTATTCAACCTCACTTGCCTCAGCTATAGAAGAAATTCCAGTGCCAGTGAACTCATTTATTTTCTGATTAAGCTGCCAACTATGATTCCTGCCCCCAGCCCTTTTCAGGGGGAAATTCACCAATGAGATTTTACTGCCTTATTACTATCAGGATTTTTTGAAATAAAAAACGTTGCTGAAATGGTACCCTGGTGAATCAGATCTTTCGCCTCTTTGTTTGTTAATTCACAAAATTCGGCAAGTTCTTAGGATTGGATAAAAATAAAATAAGAGATTATCAGTTCTGAAGCAGAGTGAGCTTGGGGTTACCAAGACAGAAGATTTTTTGAAACTTTAGAAAGCTCATCAGCATAAGAGCTTTGTCTTCTGCAGTTCCATTAGAATAGGGTCTTGGGAGCCTACAGAACAAAAGAATAGATGTTGAGATTGCAGGGTGCAGGGAAGAGCAATAAAGATGATTAGGAGACTGGGAGCTAAAACATATGATGAACAGTTGCAGGAACTGGGTATGTCTAGTCTAACAAAAAGAAGGACTAGGGGTGATACGATAGCAATGTTCCAATATTTGAGGGGCTGCCACAAAAAAGAGTCAACCTATTCTCCAAAGCACTTGTAGGCAGGACAAGAAGTACCGGTAATGGATGGAAAATTTTAAAAGAGAGATCCAACCTACAACTAAGAAGAAATCTCCGT